TGCACAAAGTTTCAGATCTAAATTCAAAAATATGAGTTTTCCGAAAAAACCTGAGTTCAGAAAATAGACATATTAAAAGTTTGATAGCTTAGTCAAATTTCAATAGGAATCGAAATTCTTTTAGGATTTTTATCAGAACACTATGTAGAACTTATAGAGAAAAAGAATTATTGAAATCAGAATAGAACATCTGACGAAGTTTCCTCGCTAATTTCCTAGAAAATCGTTTATAATTTTAAAAACTTCTTATTCAATAAGTCAGATTTATTTCATATTGAATGACCATGAACAATCGCACTTAATGATTCTTCGTGAATTTTTTTTTATTATGTACGTTATTTATGTGAAAAGATTATGTCAATATTGGGTCATATGACATTTAATCAGTGTGTCTTGCATCATAGTATATTAATCCTTCTAAAAGGTTTCATATTATTCTTTCGAATGTTCATATAACTATCAAAGAAATAAATATACTAGAAAATATATTAGAATAAAATATTAATAAAGATATCTATATAAAACAATCGAATAATTTTATTGTCACCTATAACATAGATCATTTTGTACTTTTTCTTTTTCAAAAGTATGATCTTTAAAGAAATCATCAAAAAAAAGCAATATGCCTTATATAAAAACAAAAAAGAAAAACTGAATGTAAAATATTCACAAGATAGATTTATAACTTTTATTATTTACAACTATATACAAACAAAAGAACAACATATTATTCGATTAATAAATGATTAAATTAGAAAAAAAAAGTCATTTATTAATCTTCATGATGAAATTTTTTCTCAATTTCTTTCCATGGTGATAATCCAACAATATCTTCATATGTTTGGAAATTCACACTATCTTTTAATGATAATTGTTTTCCACCTATTAAATCTCTAACAGCTTGTTCAATAGCATATGTAACACGAAATAAAATTATTGTTAGATAAAGAATCATAGAAAATCCCATTTTATATAATTCATTTGGAGAAACCCATGGTATATGACCACCATCTTCAAATATATTAACACGAGATGATGTACGTTTAAAATTTCATTCAATACGTTCGATTTGTTCTGTATTTTGTGGACCTTCAATAAATAAACCATCGGCACCAACTTATAAATATCGTTCACCATGGCGTAATGCTTCATCAAGAATATAGACTTCAATAGCATCTGTTCGAGCAATAATGAAAAATTCTGATTCGGAACGTGCTGCTAAAGCTGCACGAATTTTTGATACCATAGCATTAACAGAAACAAGTTGTTTACCTAGAGAGAACAGTATTTATGAAAAAAAACAACTAGCAGAATCTTAATTTCAAAATACATCGAACCTTTAAGATGACCACATCGTTTAGGTGCTTGTTGATCTTCAAAAAAACAAAGCCGATGTACCAAGTGCTTCATATTCTCTAATTGTTCATGTTACATTTTTTACATCACCATAACAATCATCAGCATCAATCATTACAGGTAATGATGAAGCTGCAATAATATCATAAAAACCTGTACGTTCTTCACCGAAATGTGTTAAATCAAGATCAGGATAAGCATCCTATGGGAATCTGGGTTACGGAATGACATTCGGATTCCGAATGTTAAATCTGATCGGATCGTACTATTGGAATCCGATTAAATCCCACCATACGACTCTGACCGACCTCTACTGTTGGGATAAGATACTAATTAGTACTCAACTAATAGAATAGGACTCGCCCGTTGGATCCGTTAGTGATTTCGTATCCCCGATTTCTATAGAATTTTGTTGGCTGACCGGATTCGGTCTCGGATTCATTCACCTGGGATAGACTAAATTAATTTAGAATTCGTAAGATATTTATTTAAAACTATTGTAAAATAAAAACAAATTGGTTAGTATGTTAATTTTCTCTCTTTTTTTTAATTTTCTTCTATTCATCAAAAAAAATTTTAATTTTGTCTAGTCAAAATTGAAATTTTAATTTTGACTGAGATTATATTGGGCAAAAATAAAATTTCAATTTTGCCTAGACGAAATTAAAATTTCAATTTTGACTAGGCAAATTTTAAATTTGACTGAATTTTAATTTTGACCACAACATATATATATATATCTGTTTATAATAGATATTTATTTTTGTATACAGGACGAGTGAAAAATTAATCTATGCAACACAACAAACAATTGTATTTAATGTCTGTTTTTGACAATGCAACAAATCGTAAGACAAACTATTTTTCTTGTAAATCAGTGACATATTCTTTTACTGTTCTTGAAAAATGTCAGTCATGATCACAAATCTTCGTTTTATGAATTCTTATAAATTCATGATAATAAATATCGATTAAAATATACACAGAATAACCATTCATATTTCTATTTAACTAAATGTTTATTATCTTTTAAAATTGTTTTTTATTCTAAATCATTCCAAAGATTAAAATTGACTGTACACCACTGTACGTTAACAATTCATATCTATTTAAATTAAATACCAAAATAACTGTTTTCGAAATGCTATAATAGTTCGAAAAAAGTAAATATTTTTTTTAAAAATTAAATCTCTCTTTAAAACAATCAGTCAAGAATAAACATGGAAAGTTTTTCAATAGTTACTATTCAAGTCAAAATTTTTCAATGAAGCTCAATAAATTCACAAGTTTTAATCAAACAATGTATATTATTTTTTGTAAATTTGCACTAGTAGTTTTTATTTGAAAATTCTTCTAAGCGTAGAAGTTAAAACGAATTAAAATATTTCTCACTATTGCTTAATCAATAGTAAAAATAAATGTGTATCGCAAACACATGTAAAAATTGTCCTAACATTACTTGATTAAGAAAAAAAGGAAGAGAAATCGATAAAAAATGGGTGTAGAACACATTCATTTTCTTTTTTGCTTCAGATTTTCTTTCACGAAGTGTGAAAGAAAAAAAAGAGAAAGACTATATGTATATTGCCAACTAGACATATATTGTTATGCGAATAGATAGAAAGTCATGTTTATATTTTGACCATTTTTACAGGAGAGAATAAAATCGAGAAAAGATTTTAAATGTTTTTGAAACACTTCTTTTTAATAATTAAGTAGAACATATTATGAAATATCTTATTTCATACTTCCTCCTTCCACTATAGAAATTGGTGTAGTCAAAATTTAAACAAAATATAAAATACCCTATTTATTTAGAAAATAGATCAATCTATTAAGTTTAACAGATACATTTTGAATCCAATATTTGACAGTCTTATATCATCCTTCAATTGATTGTTTTAAAGAGAGATTGAATAAGAAAAAAAATTTTAAAATAATATTTTGTTTTATACATTTTAACATTTCGAACAAAATGATTGCTTTTTATTGTTATGTAAATAGACATTAATTATAATTGTACCATCATGTTAAATAAAAGTTAGTTGCTTTATATACAGTTCATCTTTGTTTTTATCCCTTACATTCACAATAATAAAAATTTTCTTTGTATTAATTTAAAAATTTTTTGTTGTTAACATAAATATATTGTATAATAGGCGATAGATAAAAATAAAATTTCAATATTACTACTAATATTTAATGTGAAGTCAGTCTTTGAGATGGACGTTATCCAATTCGTCTTTCATATCGAAGGTTTAACTGTTAGAGTGATTCTATTATTATTGTTTTTCTTTTAGTAAGTCAATTGAAGATCATCAAATAAGAGAATGTTTTTCAAAAAGACTTACATTTAATATTTCATTAACAACATGTCTGAAAAGATAGTTGATTGATTTTTTTTAGTGGATGCTGATTCTGAAAAGTTAAAAGTAGAATTTTTCTTTGTTGAATTTTATTTTACTATTAACTGCATTGAAATATGAAATAAATGAGAATATGCAAAAATTTTGTATTATAGAAATAGATACACTCAACTTTGAAAGAAAATATCTGATTAAATAATGAAACAATCTGCACATTTTAGTAGTTTTATTCATATAAAGAAATTTCGTTTCGTCTTTGAAGAGAATCAAATATTGGAAAGAGTTTTTTTTTTTATAAGTGATGTAATAAATTAAATACTCTGGTGTCTTTTTGTAATAGACATCAAGTCAAACATTTTCCGTCGTCTTAATATGTTGATTAAATATCGAAGAGGTGTTATAGATTCTGTACGGAATGCAAGATGTATCTCTAGAATCAATGTCTAGTTGGTCGCATTGACACGACTCTCGATCTTTTTTAAGAGTAGGAGAGACTAAAATTTGTCAGATAGCTTTCGGACAATTACTCGGAATTTTATCAGACACGACATGAAAAGTGAGAGTGGCTATCTTACCATATCGAGACCTATGACTACTGATTATTTGTGCCAATCGATCAATAGAAAAGACGAATAGACCTGACATGTTTGCCTTATATATTTTCTTTCATTTGAATATATTTCGGTTGATATGATTAATAGACTAAAAAAAGATCTGCTTTCATGAATACTTTTGATTCTCTTCTTCTATAAGAAGAAAAATGAAAATTTATCAGACATTTTCACTTGCCACATTTAATAATAAAGAGAGAAAAGATAAACTTCAATAGTGAAATCTATAAACAGTGATTAATAAATTTTAAAATATCCTAATAGAGTTTTAATCATTTTTCAATTATCAAAGTTCTTTTAAAAATAAAAGAATTTCTTATTATATTTTATTTAGAACCAATAGATCTACATCTTATAAAATCAGCCATAATTACTTGTTGTCAATTATTTCTCTTCTTTGTTCTACATGTTATTGGTGTTTGCTTTGGAGCATCGTATGTCGAATCTGATCGTTTCGAATATGCATCTTATTCTTTTACAAATGTTCGTTTAGCTGAACTTAAAACAACTTTAGCTAATGGTTGTTCTAATCTTACAGATCTGCCTTGTTCTCTTCAAATGAACATAAATGTTTATTTTTTCTGGACTAAATTTCTACTAGTTTATTATTCATGGGTTATCATTCACATTATATATACATGGCATCGTACTGTTCGCTTGTCGTCCTGTTATTTTGCTTTATTTTTTATCACAATATTTCTTTTTGGAACTGATCTTATTCTTTATTTTGATCGAATATTTGCTATGATCTCTTCTGTATGTATGATACAAATCATGCTAGGCGCACAGTTGGAAGCTTTTATGCCTCACAATGCTGACGATCAATTACATGAACTCTGTGTACGAATTTCATTGCCGAATATTTTCAATGAATCTATTCAGAATGGACATTCAAAACGTGCACATTTCTATCGATGGGCAAAGAAAATGAAAAAAGAATGGAATATCAAAGAAGAAAAATTAATTATAACGGCAATTACACACATCATTTTCACCATTGTTGTAATCTCTATCCTTTCTTACATATTTAAATAACATGGTGTTTGCCAGTTGTTTCTGTACTTATTCAATAGAAATATCTTGAAAAAAAAGGCAAGTCGAAGACATTGTAAATAAATTATGTTTGTAATAGTTTATGTTAACACATTCTATATATATATAATTAAATAAATTTAGAAACTAAAATTTATTTATCAATGATAATTTGAAATAAATTATCCAATTTCTATTGTGTATTATATTCACAGGATATTTTAATCAATTCTAAAATTATACTCGCCGTAGCCACGCGTTACGGAATTTCATTTTTTTTACATTGTAACATCTGTAATTTCTCAACAATATGAGCAAACTTTCTGAAATTTTTATCATAGATAGAGGTCGTTGAGATCTATTGACAGTAAAAATTTCATTAATTTATCATTAGTTATAACTGAGTTATTCATCAAATACTGTTCGTTACGGAATTTCAAAAAATGAAAATTTTTTTAGGGTTAACACATAGTTGAGCATTTTACTACGCAATGAAGTGATATACAAGTAAACACTCTGTATATACAATTATTCAGCTTTCCACAATCTTTCAGAATACCATTTCATTACTTCACAAACATGACTGAATCAAATAAAACAATCCGCAAATAGTGTCCGTTACGGAATTTGACCTTTTTTTGACCTTCTGATAGGGAAGGTTTAAGACGTTAAAATTTATAATTATCATGGTGAAAACTCATCTTTTCTCTGATTTACGAGTAGTATAGAGACAGTTTTATCGTTCGAATATATTAGTTTCACTCATACAACGAAATGGCATTCAAAATTCTGTGTGTTTTTCCGACAAAAATGAACTATAACAGAATTCAAGACTAAATTTTTTTGCTGAAATTCGTCAAAAACTCTTCTTAAATGTTTGTCGGACGAAGAATAAGGTTTATATCGCTCATCAACAATGTATCTCAGAGGTTGTAACAAGTTGTATAATCGGTCGGTATTGCAATTTTGATTTTAGAGAAAGTTTTCTTTATTTTTGTGAATTGAAACTTTTCCCACGTGCGGGTGACCGATGCGTGGCCGCGCCGTACTACAACATTGATTCAAACAAAATAGATTATAAATAATATCATAATGAACAAATCATAGAATTTTATCTGATATCTTAGGCATTTAGAGCGTTTCTCTCATCATCCTCTTTTTTTTTAATTAAGAAAAAAAAATTCGTATTCATGTTTTCTGTTTTGAGATGCGTATTGATTATCGAATGTTAGTGACTATATTAGGCAAAATTTGCTAAATTTTAACTGTCGAAAATGAATTTAAAAACAATCAAAAGCTAATTATCACATCTTTTAGAATCAATTACAGATTATAGAAAATAGCGATATGTACTGTCGTTATATGTGGTTTGTGTCTGTCAAGAGTTAAAACTTGTCATTATTATAATTTATGAACTATGAGCTACCTTTTGTTGCGTGGTGAGAGATTAACAAAAGTTGTCAATGATCAGAAAAATAATTATACGCTTAATTTATGACTGTCTGTTCAAGTTAAGAATATATTTTCCTCTATGTAAACTGAGCTAAAAGATAATCAATAAAAAGTTTGTAAAATTATGAAAAAACAAATTCGATTTCCAAATAAGACCATTGTAATTTCTATTATTTTTTATCATTTTAAAATACTCTTTATTAAATCTGATATATTTGTACATTATTTATCATAGTAAAACATTATCAATTCAACAATTACTTGCTTATTTCTCATAAAGCTCAACAAAAGTTTCTTTTTTTTTTTGTGTGTAGAAAAGTGAATATGTTTGATATTGTTGATAAAATATAAAATGATGAAACCTAATAATTGTCGCATCTAGTTATATATTCCGGATAGATTTGTAATTATTTTTATACAAGAATTACATTGTACAACATTTTATCAGCGCTAAACTGTCGATATTTTGGAGATGTGTGTTCTCTCTTCTAAGATATGTTCTTATATTAAACTTAATAATAAAACAAAGAGATTATAAAATAATAATAATAATAATACTATACTGGACAAAATTGTTTGGACGATTTTGTTTTGCGTATAACTATCTTATAAAGTTAGCTTTTGAGGTGTGGCTTGCGTCAAAATTACAGGCATCGTCTATAGTATATTCACAGAAAATTTCATCCATAAATGTTGAGTTATAGTGGAACTATATATATAACAATGAGCAGTAGTCAATATCTGTTGGACGATTTTGATTGGACGATGTTTTAAATTGAGTTATTTTTTTCCACAAATGTTCAAAAAGGACTAAATACATATG